ACATAGGTATTGTGTTAGTAAATTAATCGCTGCTGATTAATGGTATCGAAATGGAACTCAGCATAGTGGCAAGCTTATGAAAGAGTTGTTAACAGAAATGTCCCCCTATGCTAACGTCATGAAAGTATGACCGAAGATCAGGAATTTGGAGGTGTATGCGGTTTCGCAAAGCGATTAGTGATGACGACGAAGCATCAACTACTTGAAGGAATGCTGGTGATTTTATTATATATTACCGTCCAGGATGGTACTCTTCCATATTGATGCAGATTAAAAGTTATATACGGTTCGATCAGAGTTAGTAATGTCTCAGTTTTGCTCCATTACTACTAAGCTTCTCTATTCATAAGTATTCATTGGCTTCTCCATAGCGTCGATCTAGGCTCAGATTTAGTCGGTACTGGTAAACACCACAGATTACCGGTCTGTATAGAAGAGCGAGTTAGAATCAATTCGTACTGGTATCTGTATACCTTTGCTCCTTTTGAACCTAGGGTCTGGAAACGGTGCAGAAGTTTCCTCAGGAGATAGTTTGAAACAGCGAATTCACTCGTAAGTAGTATCTATTCGAAACCAAAACCTCAAAAGGTGCTCCAATTCTCTGACTCCGTCGAGCTGGATAGAGGTTAAGGAGATATCGGGAGTACTACGCGAAAAGGGACACCTCGAACACACTGCAGAGCAACCATTTGCTAAACGATGTTCAAGAAAAGGGATGATTGTAGAGAGAGGCTGAATTGCGTTTGTTGTGTATCCACAATGGCAACAAGTTACAAGATGGATGTATCGGTATGGACTAAACCATAGTGATATGGACGGACTGCATTTCTGTACGGTAAGATGTACTGATACTTAAACGACGCTTGCAGTCGAATTTTTAGTACCGGCAGTTTGCAACCGCCGTGTCGAAATTTAATCTTTGTGTCATTTCGGAGTGTAGTTCCCTCTTGTGGCTCTCACTAACGCAAATTTTTAAAATTGCTGCAGTTTGTAATTAGTCGAAAAATTTGTTTTTATGTACATAAAAACGTCGATGTAACGACGCCAGACATCGTATACTTCGCCAGAGTGGAAAACGGAAACCGCGTTATAGTAAAAACTGTTGGAGTTCACTGAGACCATTTGAAAATTGTTTGTTTACATAATTGTGTTAGGAGAAACTTGTTTCAAAATTAAGTCCCTTTTATTGATGTGGTATAGAAATCAACTTCTATCAACTGCCGTAAAGTCAGTCGAACGTCGTACTGTAAACATCGTTAGTGAAAGGAGTTGGATTTTATCATGGCCTGGATACGCGGAGGAGTTCGCTGAACGTTACTCCTTTCGAGGTAGGTAATTGCGAGCGATTTCGAATTTGATGGGGAAAAAACTATGCAGTATATTGGTTTTCGCACAGCCGCAGATGTTGCATTCGCAAATAAGTCAATACTGGCTGCATGACATGAAAATAAATATTAGCGTTGCATCATATATTCTCTCAGTGATGGTAGAGGGTTAAAAACAGGAGCAGCAGGCCGAAGATGAACAGTGGGGAGCATAAGAAGAAGAACAAGTGAGAGGTTAATGATTATAGGGATTGTAAAGACGATGGAGCAAAGGAATACTGATTAGCTTTTATTATGACGAAGATTTTGTATTTCTGTTATATGGCTGAAACTTTGAAATTCGCTGACAATATGAGGTCGCAGTGTGAAGATTTGTGAACCAGTTATGTGCTAAATATCAGTTACCTCACGATTGAACTATTCACTGGTGCGAATATATAAAAAAATATGAAGAAGAAAGAAAGCGAGGTGATGATAATGTAAAAAAGAAGAGATTATTAAAAAAGAACAAATGTTTGATTTTGACCAACTACGTTTTACTCTTCGATTTGAATGGAATGGTCGCACCGTGTCACTTTTTAGCTACACGATGTCCTTTCAAGCCAGTATCGAAAACTAAGGTAGCAGACACAGAATATCTTAGGTTTTGTCCCATAAAACAAAATATTCAGTTTAGGATTATTTGCATATCCGACATCTGTTGCTATCAGTATTAGCTCAAGGTCATAAAGTATTGATGTATAATATAATAAAGTAGGAAAATGTGTGTTGAGAGATTGCTAATGACGGCTGAGGATGTTATCTATTGTCAGTCGTTTTTTATATCCGACTTCTCCAATTCCTTACAGTAGTATTGATAGCAAGATAGTACGAGATAAAGATGAAAAGGTAATGAAGAAGAAAACCGAGGATAATGATATGATGGTGAAGAAGGACAAGGAGATGAGTAAGAACTAGCGACAAAAGTATGAGTTGATATTTGCCTACTAATGTATCTTTTTGTCTTATATGCTGGCATCGTTGGCCTCTTGGTTTCGAGTTCTTCTGGTGTTCTTGAGAAAATCAAGAAAGCAAACCGCAGGTGGTTTAAACAGTGCCAGTTTATTTTCAGACCCTGATTTTTCCAGATCACAAGTTTCTTCAAGAACCTCGTCTGGGACTGCTGTGAATAACTTCGGTGATATTCTGTCACCCTGTGTAAGATCTGTTGTGATTTCGAACTTGTTCTTTTGAGGAGCAGTTGCATTGTAATTATGGCGATCAGAAGTCTGTGCCATTTCTCGAATACCTGATTCCTCAAAGAATCCAATACAGACCCGGCGCAGTCTGGATAGAAAGCATTCTTGAAATCGGAGAACCCAAGGCAGAAAATTTGCTGATATTTTTTACTTGTTTGAATCACTACCGCTTGGAGATGATCCATTGTACTAAATCTACTTCTGAATTCTGGTTGTTCCTTTGACTGTGCAGCGATCAGTTTTTTAAAAAGACTTTTCGTCAGTACTTTCGTGAAGATCTTGTAGACGATCAGTAGCAAACTGATCGATTTGTAATTCTCAAAATGCTCTCTTTGCCATTTTGTGGAAGAATAGAATTATTGAAGCGGTGATCCAGTCGTCTGTCAGAATCAGTTCTTTCAAACAGCATCAGAAACAACGCCGCTGGTATTCTTTTCAGTGCGTCGTCTCTTGATTCCACGAGTTGCGTCGTCTCTTGATTCCACGAGTTCTACCGTAATGCCGTCTCCACCTCTCAGGAACCCTTCCTTGCTTCGACTGATTTATTAATATGCACTCTAAAATATGAATTGTACATCAGCCTATATTAACCCTTATTTTGAGATGTTTTGTGCATATCTTTTGTTCGTAATTAGCGTTATACTGTTATATATTATAATTTAATGGAAGTAGATAGAGGAAATTTATTTCCTTGTTTCCTATTACCTTCCTGACTTGAAGTTTATGAGGAAACTCACTGCATCATCCTCTCCTGTAGCCGTGTTTGACGTATATATTAACAACATTATGTTATCATTATGGTCGGTGTCTTTGTTGCATATGAATTATATTCCTTGAACATGCATTAAATGTAGTTCGATAAAAAAATTTTGAACGTAAATTTTCATCCTTTGCTTTTGACAAGCACTTTTGCTTGAAGGACTGCGTAAGGTCTCGAACGTCGATGTTGAAACCATATAATTTGCCCAATAGATCAGTTACTAGGGAAGTATGAGATATCAAAACAGCTGAAATACGGATCGTGTGTTTGCACACCTTCGAGTCGGTGTAATCGACGCGAACGCAGTGTTTTGTTATGTGGAATTTTTTTAGCCTGTGATTGATTGATCATGTCTGATGACGGTCGTTTAGGAGATTCGGTTGCTCACATAAGCAGCGTCGGACAACGATGGACTCGAAACCGTCAGGTTCAGAAACTAGCGGTTCGGATTACAGCTTGACGAGCGGTAAGTACAGTTTTAGTACCAAAAAACTTAGTGCAGCCGTAAATTTAAAATTGCCATTTAAAAAAAAACAGATGGGCTTCATGTTTTCGCCGTATTTTTGTACTGAGACATGAAAAAAGCCGGATAACCGTCAAACGGCGTCGAATATCCTTTTCTCCGCTTGGAAAATTTTTCTTGCGTCCCCCGTTCAAGCCGGATCATACGGATTGATGATCATGTCAGTGAATCGTACGGCATCATTCCGTGTCGTAGAGCCCGTTGCGCTTTATGTTTCTTAACTGTCAGTGGTAAGTTGTCATAAGCCACCAGTGCGCCAGTGAACCATAGTTGTTGGCGATGGTGCTTTAAACATCCTGTTTCGTAATCGCCAAATCGGCTTCAACAGTGTCTTTGACCCACAGGTACCACAGTCCGGATCTCTGTCGTTGGAGGTTTGGTGGCATGTTGACTTATATATGTCCGAAAATTGAGTAATCATGCGTTAGTGTTCGTTCTGACAACTGAAAAATTCATTAAATGGTTTATTTATTCACAACGCAAAGAAATAAGTAGGTAAACTGGTCAATTCGGTGATTTGCTAGTGCCACCTTTTAGGTTCGTCTCTCATGAACCTTTTTCAGAGTAGTCCGGGTTGACTTTTGCAATTGGTTGTGTAATCCGCAGCTGTTGTTGCGTCTGGAGTCAAACGTGTGCTTCTGGCCCATGCTGCTGATTAAGTCGTTTTTATCAATCCTGTGACTAACCAGTAACCTGTAACTAACTACTTAACCAGCAGCGTGGGAAAAAGCCCAGGTTTGTCTCCAGACGTTACAACAGCTGAGGACCGCACGACTGCACTGCAGAAACCAACTATACATATATACATGAATACAAAATCACGCTGTGCAGTGCTTCATCATTCATATTTGGGCACGGGTTGGCTGAATGTGTTAATGACTGTAGCAGTCTGAAATCGTTGAAAAAGTCATCGAATCGTGCTACTGGAGGTATCTGCTAATAATTTCGAGAGACAAATATGTTCGCAAGCGGCCAGGTCATTGAAATTTCTGGGAAAGGAGGTAATTCCTACGGCGAGTCAAAGAATAAAGGCCGAAGAACATCGACCAGTGAATACCAGCGAATAGTCGGCGTTTCTTCGGAGCCGGTTTATCACGATAAACGTGGGAATCAGCGTTCGATGCGTACGAAACGATTGTGGTATTTAAAACACCTGGAGCCTTTTCTGACGTGCTGTAGTGGCATCGCGGTTTCTGCCTCCTCTGCTCAGAACCGGTAGCGACTCCATTGCTGACTGGTATCTTCGTTGTCGTTCCGTCGGTCTTCGTCAGCCGTTGTTGTGCTGCTACTCTCCCTGCTGGCAGAGGACGATGAACAGGTTGTGATCGCTGACTTTTCGCAGTCTGCCTCAGTCCCCCAACAGCCTGCGCGACCCTTGGTAACGCGGGCGACGACCGAGCCGGTATAATTGTTGAGGACGTCAGTACCGGCTAGGTGGTTAGATTTTACGGGCACCATGCCACGGTCTCCTACCCTCCTCCTTTCTCAACCGGACTTGGGACCGGCAAGATCATCTACTTTTCAGTGGATGAATGCGATGTAGGAATCAGTAGGTGTGCTCCCTCGAACATATGTACTCTTTAGAATTATATATACTCGTTACTATAGTATAACTAGCCAACGTTGATAATGTTTAGTATAAAATGTACAATATTGACGGACATATACTCTTCAATATATACACTTGTTTAATGTAGAATGTTTTTTCGAAGAAAATATACTCATTGGTTGAGTACAGGTACCTGTTGAATAGTAGGACCGTTTGATATAGCGCATGTCATATTAACATGTTGTTTCTAGTGGTCGGTTGTCGCATCGCCCTTGTGAGGCGAGGTCAACCATGTGCGCATTATGCTTTACGTGCCATTCCTCCTTTGTATTGAAAATGTTGACTGT